GACCCATAGCAACTCTATACAGGGCTTCCGAGGAGCTGGTGAGCTTGAAGCGCCAACCTTGCAGTTCAAACGGCTTTGCAGTCTGGCGCATTAACCCATAGCGCCACACCAGGACTCTATACATATATCTGTCTATATCTATCTATCTATCTATCTATCTATCTATCTATCTATCTATCTATCTACAGCCTTGGGGAAAAAAACAACTGAAAGTGGAAAAAGGAGAAAAATTTCAATACAAAATTTCAGTTATGATTGTGAAATTCTGCTTTAAACTATCCTCATGTGAGGTAGCTCCAGTTCCCAGAAGCAAAATGGCATGTTAATGAACCATGCCAGTCAAAGAATGGAAGTTCCAGAAGAAATCACAGAGTATGCACAGTTTTTATTTTTGAACAACAGAAAAAAAGCAAAATGTCTTTTGCAAATTAAAATGATTATTTCTTGTTTGTTATATTTTAGTAACTCTAAAAGGAGTCCTGGTATGTGGGCTAATGTATCAGACTGCAAAGTCATTTGAACTGCAAGGTGGTCGGTCAAGCTTACCAGCTGCTCCATGGAAACCTTATACAGGGTTGCTATGGGTCAGAATTGACTCGACAGCACTTAATAACAACAACAACAAACAGTTAAAAAAGCTTAATATTAAAAAGTTTTAGTTTAGTAATAATTCACTTAATTTTACAAACGGGGGACCAAGCATATAAATGTAAACAACTTACATGATTTTATTCATGAAGAGTTACTTCTAATGTTTTGCTTCATATCTTGTTGCTAAGTGCTGTCAGGTCAGTTCCAACTCATAGTGATCCTGCATAGGGTTTCTGAGGAGTGATTGATGAGTCTGAATTGCCAACCTTGTAGTTTAAACCAACCTTTCAGTCCAGTGCTTATCATGTTGCTGTTGTTAAGTGCTGTCAAGTCAGTTCTGACTCATAGCAACACTGTATAGGGTTTCTGAAGAGTGGATGGTAGATTTGAGCCACCAAACTTGTGGTTCAAACTTACCTTGTGGCCCCAGCACATTATCCTGCAGCGCCACACCAGGACTCCTATACCATGCTGCATATCATAAGACAGCCTTATTTAAAACTTCTCATCAATTAATTTTATGTTTTGTTTATAATACAAATGCAAGATTTTGCTAAACCTAGATGATAAAACTTTTAAATCAACTTGCTATTCTCAAATTTGATCTATATAAGTAATATCAGTTATACTTCACATCCTTATTCTGAATAACTCTGAGTAATCTGTTTCTTGGTGTTGGACTCGTGCTAATTATAGGATGGAAATGTCAATGAAGGAAGAGAGTCTACTGGTTCATACAACTTAAATCTCTACATTTATGAAAATTACATGAGAATCAGGAATATCAACTCTCAACTCAGAATTATGTAATTTTTTATACCACACTGTTTAATCTTAAATGAAACTGCAAGTAACATTTTAACTGCCACTTAAAACCCTAGTCCTATAGTTTGTACGTATGTCAGAAAGTCTTCCTTAAGACTCAAGTATTGAATGCGGAGTGAGCATGAGGTTCATGGACACTCTAAGTTAAAATGCACACCTTCAAGTGAAATACTTGTTAGAGATAAGAGAAAGAAATATGAAAAGAAGTACTAAAAGAGAAAAAACCTCATCGCACTCACAATTTTGCCTAGGTGTACAAAAAAACAAAAACAGGACTTCTAGGTAGGCTATCCAGGAAAATCTGACTACCTACTAACAGCAATACCTAGGCTATTTCTAAAAAACTTTATTAAGTTATTTTCTAAAATAATTGATACAAGGCTTTTAATATATGCTTTTTCTGTAGTAACCAGACAGACTAGATAAGAGTATTTTTGCTCAAGTGATCACGAATCAAAGTAGTTCATGCCTCCTTTGCCATGAGAGCAGAAAAACTGGATAATGTCCGGTTACTATTCCTGAACATTTGACTCAAGATTTCACAGAAGAATCCTGATCAAAAGGTAGAAAATACAAAATGGAATTTGAAAGTTACATGGAGTCCGGACTCCCTACTACGGAGGTTGGATGCTGGTTTAAATATGACCTGAGATAATATTTAAACCTTAAACCAAAAACATCCTCTGAAGTCTTCTTAAAAACAAACAATAGTTTAGCTTAACTAGCAAACACTTAGTTAAGAACTAAGCTCTTTTAAGAACTATCTATATGGGATCACATTGACAAAGCAACTTGAAAGATCAGTTAGGAACCTCAGGGGCAATGAGGTATGTTAACGGGAGAGAAACAAGTAAGAAAAGGAAGGTGAGAATGGTTGTACAACTTGATGAATGCAATCCAATCCATGTCACTGAATTGTACAAGTAGAAATAGATGAATTGGTGTAAGCTTTGCTGTGTACATTTTAAACAACAACTAAATACATTAAAAAAATAAAAAAAAAAAGAACGAAAGGAGTTCAAAGTCCTTTCTTCTGTATGAAACAATTTATACATGTTCCGTATGATCCCTAAGTACAAGGGGTAAAGGATCTGTTCCATAGTCTGGAAACTTTTACTTGAGAAAGACAGGACTACAGTTTGTTTTTAACAATGTGTCTTAGAAATAGTGACATTAATATTCAGAGTATTTTATAGGAAATTCATAGCACAATGTCTCTTCAAGAAGTTTTGGGAAAATTGTATAATCTCTTAATCCCATTTTCTACAAACTTTTTGAAGACCCTCGTACAATTTCCTGAAACCCTGCATAGGGAAACAAACATTTAAGTCCATAAATTACAGTTACTGACATTTTGCTGCAAGAAAGTCTCACTAATGAATGAAAGGAAGGTAAGTCTAAATATAGGTCCATCAAGATATGAACACTGCTGACACTTTTCAGGGCACATTTTAACACAGGGTCGCTATGAGTCAGTACTGACTCTATGGCACCTAACAACAACAACAACAAAATAGAAGTAATCTAGTCCCACATTCCTCTGCGGATCTCTCTTCCCACCAAGAACCTCCAATATTGCAGAAAGGTAGTTACTTCCTTACTCCCTGTGACCCAAATTCTGCACCTCATGGAAAGTTCCTATTTTGAAGTCAAACTCCAAGTAACGCAGGTACAATCAGTGTCCTGCTTGGAAGCTGACTTTTAACAGAAATCACACACCACAAAGGAAGCTGTGCTAAATAATCAGTTTACAAGGGACTGTGGATCCATCTGTGCAAACACTGCAGCAGGCATACTGAGGGTCCATACCTTTTCTGAGAAAGCAGTGAAGGTCATGGCGTGGGTCATCAATGACTCACCGAAAGTCAACCTCTCAGCTTTGCTCATGTTCTTCAAGGAGACACCAAAAACTAATTCATGGTCATAGCTGTAAAAAAAACAATGGTACAAAATAAAGGGAGGGAACAGTCATGAAGGAAAACTGGCTTCTGTTGTAAAAGGAACACTGAAGAAACTGAATGGGCTCAAGAACTCCTTTTCAATAAATATGGGCTACAACTCCACCTCTTCAGAAAGAATAGGGTAGTTGTGGTGTTTGTGTGCTGTGGAGTCGGTTCCAACTCAGAGCTACTCTGTTTAGGGTTTCCAAGGCTATAAATCTTTACGTTTCGGTAACAGAAAGCCTCATCTTTCTTCCATGGAGCAACAAGTAAATTCGAACTACTGAGCCTACAATGAGCAGCCCAGCTCATAATCCACTACGCTACCAGGGCTCCTTCTCAGAAAGAATTATGACGCATGCAAAATCTAGTTTCTAAATGGGGTTCCATTCTCTGTATGTTACAAGAGTAAATGTAAAAAGATTAAACAAAAATTCTTCATATCAAAAAGCTGACAAGTTTGCACTGTCATTTTAGCCATAAAGCCTTTAAAAGAACGTCAACAAACAATGAAAACCATTTTTGAATTAACTTCTTTCAAAAATGGTATCTTCTGATCTGGTAGAAGTACCCAGTTTCTGAATTCATTTAGACCACTGCTGATGGTGATATTTAAGCAAACAATACCCAAAATATCAGAGAATACTTTCAAACTTGAAAAAAAAAAACCCTCATCAATTCTTTTAGTAGATTTCTTTTCCCTGTTAACCTTCAAGATACTTACTCAACTTCCTACAAGTCCTGGTGTGGTGCTGTGGGTTAATGTGCTAGACTGCAATGTCATTTAAACCACAAGGTCAGCGGTTCAAGCTCACCAACCACTCCTTGGAAACCCTATACAGCTATGGGTTGGAACCGACTTAACAGCACTTAACAACAACAACAACCTTAAAGTAGTATACTTAAACAATCAAACTGTCTTGTATGATTTAGATCGAAAAGTGCTCTCAACATCATAAAAAATCAGGAGAACTACTTTAAAGTAAGCACACAAATCAGTCCCTATTGTCATGAAGACTTAAAATATGTAAGGCACCAAAGTAAAACAGGAAATTTACATAGTATCAAATAGCAAACAGGAGCTCTGGGAAACTTCATTACATCCCAAATGCACTGAGCAGATTTATGCAGTATCAATTACTTTTGCATGTATCTTTTTCATATAGGAAAATTTTTTTAAGGACATACAAAGATTTCAACTCAGATATGAAACAGGATCCTAACTTGCCAGGTTAGCGCATTTAGGTAGTAGAGTTTCTACTTTAAGCCCTTAAACATTACAGGATGGAGAGAAAGAGACCCGTCCTTAGGCCAACCTTAATTTTTAGATGAACTTCAACAATCATTTCATATCAAGAGTGCATTCCAACATCAACAACCCAGAAATGACTTTCTATTTTAAATTTCTTGCACTCACACATTCATGTCACTGAGGCCCAGCTTGCCATTGAAGTGTTTTCCAACATCACAGCCAAACCACACAGCCTAGAAATAGAGGGGAAAAGAAGAAAGTCAACATATACTCTATCTTCTTATACATCAAAGATGTTAAAGAAGAGGTTTTAACCCCAATGGAGAAGACACAAAAATAATACTAACCTCTCCATCTTTGATGGAGGCAGCAACCATTTTTTTCAAGAAGTCAACAGGCTGGTTGTTATATAGAGTTTTTCTCCCTCCAACCATATTGCTTAAGTAGTCTACTGTGTAAAGCTTGTTGTACTTGTGCTGGGGCCGAGGGTCATTCACTAAACAGATCTATTGAGATAAAGAATATGCCAATTAGAACATAAAACCAAAAATGTCAATCAAGATACATACCTCTACTTTAGGTTCAAACAACTGCATTGAGCTTACTGTCCATGCTTCAAGAAAAAGTTCTATAATCACACTATTGCACAACAAAGAAACCAAAGACAGTACAAAACATGTTAATAAGTGCAAGGGCAAATTAATTTATTCTTAACTGTTCAGAACACATGTGGGAACTGTACCTACCTACCAGTGGTAAGAATTACTCCAAAACTAATTCTGAAAAATCGTAAGCACCAAGTAAGTCAAATGGAGATCTCATCACTATATGGTCTCTGTTCTCAAGTTACGAGACAGCTCAACAGCCAGCAATACCTCAACAGAGCTGCTGGGATTTCAATCACAAAGTAAAAGTCATTGCACGGAACAGAGTCAAGAAGCCAATAAACGAATGAGGCTCCAGTCATCTTGCTAAGTAAGGAAAACTTGAAGGAAGCAGGAAAAACTAGGATAGGACACTGCTCCCTTCTCTGAGAGAGTCCCCACAGGGGTTCACAGTACAGAGGTGCAATGGACACATTAGAAACATCCAACATGCTTCTATTGTCTTTGTATCTGAGAATGAATTTAGGCTCAAATCAGGAAGCACTTGGGAAGTGAACTTGCCTAAGAGTTATAAAACTCTAAAAAGGAACGTTGGGGAAAAGTGGTAGATATTCATATGACAAACTTTATTAGGTGTTGATACCTCAAACTTTATTAGGTATAAAATACCTCAAGTGAAAGAGGAAAACAAGTTTGCTTAGTGTCTACTTTGATGGTCAAACAAGTTAACCCAGAACTCTTCTATCCCTCCCTGTAGCCAATAGGCGTTTGAAAGTAAGCGGCAAGCAGCGGCCAATGCCCGACTCCAACCTTATCTTCCATATTGAAGAGTGGCTTGACATGTTCCCTATAAAACTCCAAGGGTGTTATGGGGCCAATCTTCTGATAATTTTTATCTTTGTCTCGATACTCCCAGGTGAATGTCTCTGGTGGGTTACCCAAACAGATGCACACCACTCGGAATATCTGGAATAGAAAAGGAGAGCAGATGAACAAATGGTGAGTGGTTAAGTGGTATTCTTTACGTTGTCCCTTTCTCCAAGCTTGGGAAACAAAAATTTAGTGGCTAAACCCAAGCCAGAAATTTCATAGGAAAAAAAATATCACTCAAAATTAGAAGGCTAATGTCCATTATTTGGTTATCAATCAATTTGTGAGTTCTCAAATAAACACTCTGAACAATGCAATTTTGAAATGTTAATATTTACTGCTTAGTATCTGCCCTGCAAATGAAACTTCCTTAGCCAAGAAACCACCCACTACTGATGCCTATCAAGATCTGGGTTGCTGCTCTGTTTATTATTTTCGGAGTGACAAATAATGATATAATTTATAAATAGATTTATTTTCCTTTGTGCATCTAGGTTTTCCTTTGATTGTGATAGGAGTTTCTACTCACTGAAAAGTTAGTAACTTTTCAGTTGGAATATGGGTGACAATGCCTGTTAGTATTATTAGAAAAATAGTAACTTTTAGAAGTAAGGCATCATTATTTTGGATTGTGAGACCATAACACATTTTCAAATTATGCTAATATTCAAGTTAGCCTGAAATAATCCAAAGATATATCACTCTAGTTTTATAGAAAGACAAAAATAGAAGGATAAAGAAAAACCTTCTAAAACGTGACTATAAAAAGTACTTTCTCTCCTGTAGCAACTTTGAATATGTTCCTTCTTTCCCTGATCAATTACTACCATGCGCCAATCTTATCACTTATTACCTGCATTATTTATTACATTCAAAAGAAATGGATTTTACATTTATTAACTGTGCTTATTTTGTACTGGAGAATATACATCTGCAAAGTTCACTTAATTCTCTTAACACTTTCTTAAGGTATTAATTCCTCCCCCTTTTTTTTCCACACGGGGAGACTGAGAGTTTAAAAACTTAAGTGACCGACTAAAGGTCACATAGAAATGATAGAACCATGATCTGAACTGAGATCATACACCTAAAAAAACCATTCTGCTCCACAGGTATGAGGTTTAAATGGGGGAATATTAATGAATGTCTACAGGACTGTACTATAATCTTTGAAAACCTCATTTCTTAATCCTCTCAATAGAGGCAACAGATAGTATTTCCATTTTATAGGTAAGATAGCCAAGGCTCAGGGAAATAAATAGCTTCCCTGAAATCACATAGCCAATAAATGGCAAAATTAGGACTCGAACTCATATCTCACTTCAATGCTGTTTCCATGATACCATGAATAAAACACTGATCATTTATTGTAACTTTCTAAGGAGTGCTGGTGATGCTGTAGGATAAGCACTGGACTACTAACCACAAAGAAGGCAGTTCAAACCAACTAGCTGCTCCATGGGTGTAAGAGGAGGCTTTCTAATCCCATAAAGATTTATAGTCTTGGAAACCCTGTATAGGACTGACTTGAGTTGAAATTGACTCGATGGCAATGGGTGGGTGGGTAACTTTCTTGATTTCATGTAACTTTTCTCTTCCAAAGATATACACTGAAAGATAAGGACCAGCCATAGATACTTTGTGTACCTGACAGCATCTAGCATAGTGCTAGCCATGGGATCTGTATCTAAAGGTGGATCTGATTACTGTTCTACACCATCCACTCTCAACACCATTACAGGAAAAGTAGCTTTAGAAGCACCAGTTTTTTCATGTCTTCCTATCAGTGTCCACAAGTCCAAACTCCATGACTTGATTTTTTCTTTTCACTGATCCACAGCATGATGATGATGGTGATGTGCCATGGAGTCAGTTCCGACTCATAGCGACCCTGTACAGGGTTTCCGAGGCTGTAAATCTTTATGGGAGCAGAAAGCCTCATCTATCTCCTGCGGAACCACTGGTAGTTTTGAACTGCTGACCTTGAGGTTAGCAGCCTGACTTGTAACCACTACGACCTTGCAATCCAGGCTTTGCAGTCTGACACATTAATCCACAGTGCCACCACAGGACTCAGAAACCCACTAAGGGGTCACTATAAGTCAGAACAACTTAACAATACCAAACAATCATAAAATATATTTACAGTTGTATATATATCCATGTAGCCCCCATTCAGATGAATACATATAACAATTTCAGAGCCTAAATTTCCTTTGGAACCTGTTGCAGTAAATAGTCTCCAACTTCTCCAAGGAAACCACCATTTTGGTTTTTATAATCACTGATTAATTTTGTCTGTTCCTAAACATCATATGAATGATATAATACAGCATATTTTCTTTTTGACCCAAGCCATGGTATTTTCAATAGCCTCATATGCATGCAAAAGTTGGAAAATGAATAAGGAAGCTTGTAGAATTGATGCATTTGAGTTATGGTGTTAGAGATGAATATTAAAAGTACCACGGACTGCCAGAACAAAGAAATCTGTGTTGGAAGAAGTACAGCCAGATGCTCCTTATAAGCCAGATGCTGAGACTCTTGTCTCTCATACTTCAGACATGTTATCAGGAAGGACCAGTTCCTGGAGAAGGACAAACTTGGTAAAATGAAGGGTCAGTGAAAAAGAAAAAGAACTCCTATGAAATGGATTGGCACAGTGACAACAGCAATGTGCTCAAACATAACAACTGAGGAGGCAGCAGGATTGGACAGTGTTTTGTTCTGTTGGGCATAAAGTCACTATGAGTTGGAATCCACTTGACAACACCTAACAACACCATCTCCCCCCACCCCATGTGCTTCCTTGCTACTTCTTCTTTTTATTGGGGCAAAATATACATAGCAAAAATTTCCATTTTAGCCATTATTAAGTATAGACTTCAGGGATATTAATTACATTCACAATGTTGTGCTGGCATTACCATTATCCATTTCCAAAAGTTTCTCATCGCCTTTAATAGAAACTTAGTCCTTTTAGTAAGAACTTTACTTTTCTTTCCTTTCCTTGGGCCAGCTTCTTTTAACCACTAATACACTTCTGACTATGTATTTACTTATTCTAGATACGTTACATACAATGTTTCTCCCTTTGTGTCTGATTTATTTCATTCAACAAATTTCAAGGTTCATCCATATCAATGAGTGTTAGAACCCTACCTGTCTTTATGGCTGAATAATACTCCATTGTCTACATATACTGCATTTTCAAAATCCATTCATCACTTGGTTGTTTCCAAACAATGTAATTAATGCCGTGAACAAGTACCTGTGTGAGCCCTTGCTTTCAAGTCTCTTGAGTATATAACTAGAAGTAACTGTTGGGTCATATGGTAATTCAAGGTTTAACTTCGAAGAATGGCCAAACTGTTTTCCAAAGTGGCTGCATCATTTTACATCTCCACCAGCAACGCGTAACAGTTCCCATTTCTCAACATTCTCACCAACGTTTGTTATTTTTTATTTTTCTGGTAATAGCCATCCTAGTGGGGATGAAGTGGCATATCTCACTGTGGTTTTAAAAGCATTTCCCTAATGACTAATATTGTGAAACATTTTTCCATGTTCTTATTGGCCATTTATAGACCTATTCAAGCACTTTGTATATCTTTGAGTTGACTATCCTTTCATTTTTAAGTTGTAGGAGTTCTTTATATATTCTAGATAGCAAACCCATATCTGACATATGAATGATTCCCAAATATTTTCTTGACATACAAAAATTTTTCATTCTTATGAATTCCAATGTGTCTGTTTTTCCTTTTGTTTCTTGTGTTCTTGATGTTACAACTAAAAAGTCATTGTCAGAACAGCATATTCTGTTTTATTTCTGGCTCCCATTCCTAAATCAGTAATTTATTCCTTATTGCTATGTAAGTACTCCACTGTGTAAATATAATACAATTTATCCATTTGCCTGTTGATGGATATGTGTGTTGTTTCCAGTTTGGGATTATGTTGAATAAAGCTGCTAAGAACATATTTCTACAAATGGTGGTGTGCTATGGTTGGTTTCGCCTCATAGCATCCCTGCGTAGGGTTTCGGAGGTTATAATCCTCACAGGAACAAAAAGCCTCATCTTTCTCCCACAGAATGTCTGGTAGTTTCGAACTGCTGACCTTCAGGTTGGCAGCCCGATTTGTAACCACTACGCTATCAGAGCACTTGTGCAAGGAGCTCTAGTGTGTCTGTGAATAAGCACTGGACTACTAACTGCAAGATCAGCAATTTAAACCCAACAGATAATCTCAGAAACCCTATACAGAGTCGCTATGAGTTGGAATCAACTCAATGACACAGTAACAGCAATGTAAGAGTTCCAAGTAAGAGCTGGCATTAGTTTTAGTTTTAGCCATTTCAGTAGGTATGTAATGGCATCTTGATGTGGCTTTAAACTGTATTTCCTTGATACAGAGTTTGGATTTCAAGACTATAGCTTCACCCTTGCCTAGTTGTCAAACTGTATTTCCTATCATAGACCCTGCACCCAAGTAAGACTTTTCTGTCTCTTGTTACTATGTGCTGAATGCACTCAGTTCACTCCAATTTTATTCCCATGTTTTAAAGCTCACTGTTGTCCAAAAAACCTTCACTAATTATTCCAGCTCACAATGATAACTCCCTTTTTTGAACATTTTTGGCATAAAAATTCAACATTTGATTCCACAATGCCATTTATATTTCTATAATGTCTCTCCAGCTAGACTTAATCTACTAGGGAGGACAGGAACCAGGTTTTCGATATCTTCCTCATTCCTTACACATTCTAGAAGCAATACACTAAAAACAAGTTTCTTAAATCAGTCGTCTTTGACCAGTGATTAGTGTAAAATTTGGATTTACGAGTTCAAACTGAGTTTCACCTTTCTTTAAAAACATCCCAGATAGTTTTCTACATCTGGTTTGGTGAGCAGAATCTAGAGTCTTAAAAGTCTACAAGTGGAAGAGTCAAAAAAAAAAAAAACCTAAAGACTCCCATTTACAAATGGAAGATGAAGAGGTATAAGAGCTGAACAGAAAATTTCAAAGGTCAGCTTGAGAAGACGAAGTCAAATATTACAACACAATGTGCAAAGATCTGG